CACAGAAGCAGCGGCACACAAGGGCTTATGGGTTTTAATCGTTTTTAGTACATAACTGGTTAGTGAAGTTAAAGAGTAGCAGTGGCCGCACAGGTGGAGTGGGTGAAAAACATTAACAAAACACACAGGCTAACTTGAGCTCCCGTGACTCACGATGCATCCGAGGGGCCAGGTGCTTCGGCTGCACAACGCGCGGCAGCTTTGGCAGCCACTCTCCCATGCTTGGAGCTCGGTAGCCCCTTTCCGCTTCCCAGCGTCACAGCGCTTGCTCCAGCTTCGCTCGCCGCGTCCGACACGGAAGAGCCGGAGCTCAAAGAAAGCTGTCCTGCAGCGACACCGGCCTCGATGCACGAGAGCTCCAGGGCTTCGTGAGGGTTCAACCCCGCCTCCTGGCCAGCCTTACAGGAAGCATCCTGGATGACCGTGCTTTCCTCCATGCTCAGATCTTCCCTCATGGCTGCAGCTGCTAGACTGCACGCAAGTCTCGCAGCTCTTTGCCGCGGCATGCGCGCTGACTTGGCGGCTGCGGCAGTGAATCTGGCAGCTTGTGCCACTGCGTCCAGGGAAGGCTTGCCAAGTTCAAGCTCCTGTTGAAGGAGATATCTTCCAAGGCCACGCGCAGCCTGCTTCACAGGCTCTTGGCTACTACCAGCATTTCCGATGAATCTAGCCACCTCGCAAGCTTCCAAGACGATGCTGTCAATGGGCTTTCCAGCTGCAGCTGCCTCCCGGCCGAGTGCTCGAACGGCCACAAGAGCCCCAGCCGCCCAAGCTCTGTGTCTTGGCAAGCCCCACTCCTCCGCCGATCGAGCAGCTTCCCGCCCGGCCCTGAGTGCGATCTCCTGCCCAAGACCACTCACGGAAACCAAAACCGCTCTTGTCTAAACAGCCCCAGGCCTAGCTCCACACATCTCCAGGCACGTAAAGAGGTTAAAGTCACCTTTAAGGTCCTTCATGGAGCAGTCGTCGTCCAATAAGGCGGATGTCATTGTCTCACCGGCTGCTGCCGCCGCCACTTCCGCCGCTTTGTCTTGGCCTACACTTGGCAACAGCTAGGGACAAAAATAAATGTTGTGTTACAACATCGCTGTAAACGGGGCTTATATAGGGACCCTGAACCCCCAAATTCCGCGAACCACACACACAACCCTAAGCCAACAGCTTCGAAAGATGACGAGCAGCCCATACCCACTCGGTCACCAAACGCTGCCGCTGCATCCCCCGCTTCGTCCGCTGCCTCCAAGGAGGCTAAGGCAGCATCGAGCGACGTCGAGCGTTAGGCAACTTTGATAAACATTTTTCAAGCCACGCAAGTCAACTCCAGTGGCAACAAAACTGCCCGTACTCCCTTTTCGTTCCGAAGCCCTGACATCACATGGAAAACACGAACTCAAATGCCGCCTGGCCTTTTCGGGTTTCTGCCAGCGCAGGCAGTCCTGGCCCATGGCGCGGCCCGCGGCCACGGCCCCCATGTGCAAGGCCTGCAAAATTCAGCGCCCAAGGTCCAAGGCAAGGTCGAAGAGACTCTGGATTGTTGGGGGTTCACTGAGTTCACCAAACCCTAAGTAGTAGGGTTCCAGCCCGGTAGGTACGAATGGCCCGGTCGAGGGCCCAAGAAAATTGTCTGCCCATAAGCAGCCCAAATGGAAGGTGCTCCACGGAGGGCCATAAATCAGGGTACCCACATGTCAATCCAAACAAGTCAAAGAACACGGTTGCATAAAGAATAGGGTTCCCCCAAAAGCTCAAATATCCAAAGAACAAGGTTGAGCAACAGACCCTGGAGCCTAAACCCTGTAAACTGAAACCCTCAAACCCCTACAAAACCCTATAAACCTCATAAGACCCCGAAACCCCCCAAAGCCCCCCAAAACCCCAAAAAACCTGAAACCCATCCGCTCGCCTTGTTAGGCGCGAGGCCCTGGGCTGCAGCCACCGCCTTGGCCGCCTCGCCGGCCTCCACCGCGGACTGGGCGTCGGACTTGCCTCGGCTGTCTCTTTGTTGGGGGCCTATGAGGATTGATACGGGGTTTTAGTAGGGGTGTTAATGGGGGTTGTACAGGGGTTTTAATGGGGGTTGTATATCGGGATTTTTTTGGGTTTTATAGGGGTTTGTAGGACTTTGTTTTCAGGTGGATTTAGGATTTGAGGCCTCATGGCTTTCTAGGGTTTAGGGTTTTAGGCATTTGTTATTGTTGTTTTGATTTGGGGGGGGGTATGGTATCCCTAAAGCCTCCAAAGCCCGGCTATCTATCTGGAAAGTTTAATTCCGTGAGGTGCCCATAACCCTGCTCAGCTCAGCTAATATACCAGTTCCCCCGAAGACCAGCATGCAACAGAGAATGAGTTCCGAAGCCTGCTGTTTCCAAGAGAACGGTGGCAGGAGTGACTTCAAGATAGCCTGGCACTCGGAAACGGCCAGCAGACCTCCTGGGGACGATGAACACTACATCGCCGAGGTACCTTCATCATCCCAATGATGGCCGTGCTACAGCATTGTTCCGGTTGCCAAACGCACTTATGAGAACGGAACAAGCCCGAAACCACATAAACCCTAAACCACATAAACCCAACATCGCCCAGCCACCATGCGCCCGAGCCAACTGCGCTGCTGCCCTGGCTGCCTCTTCGGCCGCGCTTTGAGAGCCTCCGGCCGCGGCCGCCACCTGCGCGAAGGAGTTGAGCGCCTTTTTGGGGAGTTGGAGAATGGGGAGCTTTTGGGTTCCAAGGGATTAGGGTGCAGAGTGTTTACAAGTTTAGGGTTCAGTGTCCCATGCAGAGTTTGTGGGGCGAAGAGTCGGCGAGTCCTTCTCCCCTCAAGTAGGGACTGTGGGAAGGAGGGGTTGGCGACTAAGAACAAGTAAGGACCTGTTTGCTGAGAAGTTGCTGGTGATGAGTGCGAAGCAGACGTTGCAACAAGAGCCTAGGTTGCTTAAGATAAGGGAAGCCTTTCCTGCTTCAAAAATGTTCTTTGCACAACCCCCCAATGGGACATGCAATAACATTGCTTGTATGCACTTTGTTCGCCAGAAGCATGTAATATGCCAGACGCAAAATGTCCGCAAGATAGATGTATGAGATAGCACAAAAAAGGCCGACAACTAAAAAAAGGGCTTTGTCAAGCAACTTCATAATTACAGGCCCAAAACAGGGAATGCGGACATATCTGCTTACAACTTATTGTTCGCATTCATGCCTGGCAAATGACTTGTAAGACTAGTGGATTTGCAGATCACAAAGACATGGCGAATGAAAAACCCTAGACCCCTAAACCCTAGAAACCCTAAACCCCTAAGCCCTGAACATTCAACCCCGAATCCCTAAACCTTCATCACATTGGTGCAGTAGCCGCGCCTTTGCCACCATGTTGACAACCTCCTCCGTCAGCCCATCTGGGTTGCGCGTCCAGGCCTGCAGGCTTAAGGGTTCTAGCAACCCATATATTTACATGGAGGTAAGGGACCCAAGGCGTGCCCCGAAACGACTGTATCTTTGACTCAGGCATGCAAGGAGCTTAGCTTGCGCCTCCATGACACTCGCAGCTGCAGCCATGGCTGCATACGTTGCCGGTCCAGGTGGCGAGGCGCCTTGCGAGGCAACAGAAGTTGAATGAGAGAAGTGGTAAACCGAACTATAAAATTGACAAGAAGCTGTGTACGTGTGGCGAAAACGGACTGAAATCGACTGAGCCTGTGGACTCCACCGCCTTTGCCGCTGCCTCTCAAGTAAACTACTTTGATGACACTGTGATGACAAAGCCTCGCCAACACGATCAGCTTCTTTTCCGCCGGACCTTGCCAGCCTGGTCAGCAACATCTTCCACGGGCTGCTCGGCCTTCAGCAAGGCCTTCATCTCAAGGACAGAGGTATCCACAGGATGCTAGCGTGCTGTGATAACTCTCGACTTTGGTATGCTTCTGGCTGGTTCCTTTCAGACAGAAGCACCGCCGCAGGCGCATTACACGTGCACGATGGTACATCAAGCACTGATTTCACTAATGTTACACCGCTGAGCTGTGCACGTCACTGACGACTTGGCCAGCAAGCTGTGCAGAAAGGATGACTTGCCTTGGCAACGGAGACGACTGTATGGCTGCCATGATGGCAGCCGCGCACACTGAGGCCAAACCATGACGCGAGGTATTTGCATGATGGGCAGGGTATCAGAATATGTTGCTGCGCCATTGATTTTCCTATCGGTCGTAGCACACAGATCCCACAACCCTGCGGTCTCTGAGTTCTCGTGCCTTGTGGCAGCCAGTCCTGCTCGGCAAGCACATCAACAGAGGCATCCTGAACTTTCCTCCTACACGGGCCGCAAGCTTGCGCTGGAAACCATCAACCGTGCATCTCAGCTTTACGTTTGACGAGTTGCCTTGTTCCGGTGTCGAGATGGACTCGACAGCAGCTGACTATCTACTGGTGCCAAGAGAAGGAGGATAACACAAGTTCTCTGCAAAACCCGAAGTCTCGCTGAGGGCTGATGTCTCACATAGTTTCTCCTTGCTGGGGGCCTCATGGCAACCGGTTGAATATTGCCATGGGGGTCCTGCTAATAAACATCGATGCAAAGGAGCCTCGGTGCGTTTACAGGCCGCACACCATGAAACCCTACCCAAAGCCAGAAACTATGAACTGCCATGCGCCCTATACCCTAGGAACTCCAAACCCTAAACTCCTAAACGCCCCTGAACCCCCTAAACATCCTTCCCAGGCCTCTCTCCCTGCCCACACGAAGAAGCTCTGCAGTGCCAGCTTGGGAAGCCTTTCTACGGCAAAAGGCACATGGACTTGAGGAATGAAGAGCTGGGGTGTTGTAAGAAACGCTGAAGTCCCCACTCTTGCTTCATGCCCGGCTAGCCAACAGCAAGAAGTGTGCGTTTGGGATATAGGATTCGGCGTTCAGAGTGCTGTTTATGTGCAGGATGAATACCTGTGAGGATCGTTGACGACGGCTTTTTCTGCAGCATCTCTCATCGACTCTCGCGGAGCACCCAGCTTCAGTATGGTTGCTGATGAAACTCATGGCATACGAATTGTGGGGTGTTGGGGGTCACGCCCAACATTCCAGACACCTCTTGCAGTTTGAGCCTAAGAGGCGGGGTCCTTTGATGATGTCGACGTTTGTCGCGCTGAGTTTTGGGAAGGTTTACTTGGAAGTCGGGCGATTCGATGCTCCAGCCGCTCGCCTTGGATGCTTTGGATTCTTTGCACTTCTTCACGTAGCCTCTGGCTTTGCCAGCCAGCTTCTCAAGCTCTTCTTCCCTGGCCTTTTTTGCCACCTCCTCCTTTTTTCGACGGCTCCCTTTCCGGAGAGCCAGGTTTTTGCGCCACCGGCTGTGCATGTGGTCCTCCTCCAGGGCCTGGTGACACTGCTCATATGCCTGCTTCCTCTGCATGGAAAGGGTGGGTATGTCCAGCTTCAGCCCATGACCTCCCAGAGCCATGATCACAGCATCATGCTGGCGAAGCATGTCTTCGTGCTCGTGGTCTGAAAGCGTGGCTGAGCGATGCCTGCGAAATCGCTCCGCTGGCCTTAGCCGCAAGGCCAGGTCCCGTCTCCCCGGCACGAGTCTTGACACCAAGCGGCCATCTTCCAACAGTTGCTTGACAAGGCCAAGTCGGCCCAGCATCGCTGCTCTGTGCAAAGCTGTCTTTCCGTTTGCGTTCGCCATGGTGACAGCAGTGAAGCGGCCGTGGCCGAGAAGAACTGCAACAACATCGGCATGGTTCATCTCAACCGCTGTATGCAGAGCCGTGCCCGTGTCCTCCGTGCGGGGGCGGAAGCACCAACGGCGCAAGCTCCAACTGTCTTCGTCATAGAGATGGTCAGCGTCATGGTCCCTGTCAGCAGAAATCAACTCCGAGATAGTTTCTGGTAGAGTGCCCGATGCATCAGCAGCCGTAAAGGTAGCATGGTCCAGCAGCAGCTTGCAGGTGGCAGCGTCCCCTGAGCCAGCGGCCATGTGCAGCGCGCTACACCCCTCATAGGTCAAAGCATTGACATCAACGCGGTCAGCTGCCAGGAACTCCTTGAGGACCTGGATTTTCTCCGAACCATGGTTGTGCAACCTGGCCGCAATGTGGAAAGCCGTCTCGCAATAAAAAAAATGTCTCATTCACGGCTGTGAAGCGGCTGTGGTGAAGGAGCATTTTGACAATATCAGTGTTCGCAGTGTTGTGCCGCAATTTGGAGAATCGGGCCGCGTGGAGAGCTGTATCATAAGGAATGCAGAACCAGTTATGCTCACGCGCATCACAGCCTGCGTTGGCTTCTTTAAAGGCCGGGTCATCAAGTAGGCCTTTGCACACGCTGGTAAGGCCAAGCAAGGAGGCATGGAGCAAAGCAGTACCCTCTTCATCATAGCTTCCATTTTCCAGTGCGTCGTCTGCAAGATGCATGCGAAACTGTCTGTTGCAGCTGATCCTCATTGGGCAACCCAATGGGCCACGGCCACTTGACTCGAGGCTGCTATCGCTGTCGTTGCTGTCGGAGCTGTGACGCCGCGAGCGAGACCGACCGGCCTTCTCCAAGACAAGAACGCTGCGTGTCATGGAATAAATGTCACTCGGGCTCCAGGTCAGTTCATGTCGATTCTGGAACAGGAATTCCAAGAAAGATTTGATGTGTGGAAAAGGATGGGGCTGCTTTCGGAAAGCCAGCACGCGGCATGGAAAGCCATCTGCTAGCGCCCTGCGCTTGGCGCATTCGAGGAGCGAGTCGAGCTGCCGAAGGTGCTTCAGCGCTCCCTCGAGCAAGCGGCCATCATCAAGGCTCCACCCTTCAATTTCCTCTTGCGGTGCTTCTGTCTCTGCCTATTCTTATATTTCGTGCACGCCTTCGGCGTGCACGAGCACAAGACGCAACAACAACGCCGAAACTTTTGCGCGGTTCTCCAGTTCTTGCCTCAGGTCGGCCGGGCACGAGTCACCCTGCACTTCAAAGGTACCGAGGACGTTGCCCGTCATGGCCCAGGCAAACTCCACGCGACCCTTGGCCTCCAAAGGGAATTCCATGACTTGGGTTGTCCAGAATCGGAACGAGGCTCTTGAAGTCGACCGCCGTCTTGCACGCCTCCGGCGCAAGTCATGGAGCACGCAAGCTTCGAAAGAGTGATGCACTGAAAGTGACCACTTGTGACCTTTGCCTTCGTGGGTCCTGCATAGGAATCCGCCCCTGGGAAGCTATATTAAATAGTACGCTGTATACTATGACCATATGATACGCTTCCCTGTTGCCCACGGTGCGCGTGAAGAGGTCCCTGCCGCGCTCTAATCTAGTACACACGATATCCTGTATACTATGTTATACTTGAGTGTAGAATGAATTAACGGCCAGAATACCCAGGTATACTGTAGAGATTGCAAAGACATGTCTTGACCAGAGTTTAACCGTAAGTATAGTTAACCGTGAGTATAGCTCCTCCCACCCAGCCTCGCGGAGCCACGCGGCTTCCGTGTCTTAGCTTGAGAAGGAGGCCCGCGGAAAAGAACGGACAGATCGATGTATGCAAAGCATCAATTCCAGGTGATGGTAGGCGATATACGAGGTACGTGTAGTGATCGTGGAATGGTGGAGTCTATTGATATCATTACCCAGCAGATGACTGATCCTTGGGCAGTGAAGGCTATCTTTTCCCATGCTTTACAACACACACGACTGAAGCCAACCGAAGACCCTTGAGAACCTGGAATGCCCTGAGCCCCCCAAGCCTCCCAGAAGCCCAAGTCCAGGCCCTGACGGTCTGATGCGCAAGCTGTTCAATATCTGCCCCTTCCTCGTATCCCCGATTATGCCCTCGTAGCACACAGGCTACCATAAACCCGGCTCTGCCATGCCTCCGACTTTTTTTTGACCGCCGCCACGCCCCGCATTGTTGAAATGGATGTGGCCAGGTCGCAAAAGAAGCTCTAGACCTACAACTCCTGTTCGTGCTTGGGGCCTGACAGGCTTTCCAGGGAGCGTAAAGCTAAATGCGCCAAGAGGGCGGATCCTAATGGAAGTACGTTCTCATCCATATTGAAACGAGGATTATGAACTGACACATTTGTTGGAAAATCACCTGAAACTGGCGCGGCAGTGGTATGCCCAGTGCCTTGCCCAAGGAACACAAATGCGCCTGGGACCTCCTCAGCGTAGAACGCAAAGTCTTCAGCGCCCATGGTCGGAGGGACGGTTACAACAGGAAAGGCGCCGGGACCTGTGGACGCCTCCTGGACCACCCACTCCCACAGGTTAGCATCATTGATGGTCGGTGGGAATGGATCCGGCATGAACGTCCAATTAGAAACTGTGCATCCGTATGCTCGGGCTGTGGTCTCCGCTACTTCCATCAACCGGGCTCGCAAAGCATTCAGCTTCTCACTCGAAGTGGCACGGATTGTGCCACCAAGAGCTGCCTCAGCTGGAATCACATTGGGGGCGTCGCCCGCATGAAACTTCGTGATGCTGATGACTGCCGAGTCTGAGGCATCCGTGTTGCGAGAGATGATCGCCTGTGCTGCTTGAACGACAGCGGTGCCCGCCACCACTGGATCAACGGAAAGATGGGGCATAGCACCATGCCCACCTCGCCCATGAATGCGGAAATCAAAGTTATCCGCAGCACCCATCGCCAGGCCAGGTCGACCGGCCAGTGTGCCACTTGGCATCGTGGGCCAGATGTGCAAGCCAAAAACGCGCTTGACGTCGCGAATGGCACCCTCCTCACACATCCGTTTAGCTCCAGCACCTCCTTCCTCTGCTGGCTGGAATATCAAGCGAATCGTACCCGAAGCTGGGATGGCTGATGGGCTTTCCTTCGAAATGGTGGTCAACACCTTCGCAGCTCCTAGTAGCATAGCGGTGTGGCCATCGTGCCCACACGCATGCATGCGGCCGTGGTTCTTAGATTTGAACGGCACGGCGGTCTCTTCCTGGATCGGCAGCGCGTCCATGTCAGCCCTGAGCGCGACGATTGGTTGGCCATGGCCAATCTCAGCCACAACGCCAGTGCCGCCAGCACCGACTATGCGATCTGGACGCGTGTTCACGCCCCAGCCCGCTGTGAAATTCACGCCCATGGCACCCAGCTGCGTCTGGACAAGGCGTGAAGTCTCAAACTCCTGATACATCAACTCTGGTGCCGAATGCAAGGTTCGCCTCCATGACACAATGTCCGAGGCTGCACGGGCTCCAACATTCCGCACGTACTCCAAAGAGACAGGGGAAGCCAACGCACACAGGGTGCAGCATGTAGTGACCATCCACAGCCCCGCACGAGTTCTCATCGACATGAGCACCTAAACGCGCCAAAATGGAAGCGTGAACGTTGGTAAATGTTCAATGATTGAGGTCAGTGAGCCTTGAGATTCACAGCGACGGATAATTGTGTCAATTCGGCATCGATCAACATCGATCAAGGGAAGAGAAAGGTTGTGCAGCCACTGTTGCAGAACACGTGAACGGGATGCTGCAAGTAATAATGACCCACGATATGAGGTGAGACGACGAGCCGAGGACACAACTGTGATGATTGAGAAACTGAATGTGCCCACGCCTCACTTGGAGCTGGGAACCGATGTTTACCTAATCTTACTCTCGCTCTCACTCGTATCAGCTGCCCTAATGCCAGCTGCAACACTTGCCCCACTTGACCAAGTTAGCTAACTGAGAACTGACCATGAGGCAGGTGGGAAACACAAAGTTGCTTTAGTTGGAGGGACTGCCCGGACCCTGTCCGTCCGAGCCTCAGTGGCACCTCGCCCAGTGCCCAGCGCTGCCGCGGCTGCAGCTTCACCCGCGGCTCGTGCCTCCTCGCCCTGGCACGCTGCTTACATTCATCCGGGTCGCCCGGGCAAAGCTGGCATGTTCTGGTACAGAGGATCCTGATCTTCATGAGTGGCCATTCTGACGTGCAGCTTCTGGAGATTTCCGGAGAGTTCAGGCCGAGGGTTAGGAAGGAGTCTGCTGCTCTTCAATGAACCTGTAAGAAGGTGCAAAGATACCAAGCTCTCTTCCACTTCCACTCCTTCAACTTGGGGCCTTGTTTTTCCACACTGCCACCTTTGCCGCTGCAGCCGGTGCCGCTGCCGCAGCCTTCTGTTCTGACTTGGCAGCTTCTTTGGAATCTTCGGTGGTCACGTCCTGAAACAGGCACACGCACACATGCACGACATGCACACGTGTACACACACGTACGTACACACGCACGCACGCACACACACACACACACACACACACACACACACGTTGCCCAACTCCTTGACTTCCGAAGCGAATCCAAACTGATAATCTGCCGTTACTTCATTGCCAAGCTTGGCTTACTTGCTGAGCGCCCTGAAGCTCCCCAAGCAAACCCCAAGCATTCTTCATCCCACCCGGTGCAAGTTGTGCAAGTTGGCGCGCGCCTCAACCGAGGTCTGGGCCGCTTTGGCCCTGGCTTTGGCTTGTAGCTCAGCGAAAGCCTGTGCCGGTCGGTGGGGGGAGGGGGAGGGGGGTGATTCCATGAGCAGGCTTTGCTTATGGCGGAATAGAGATGCTGTCCAACGATCTCTCATGTTGTGTTCTCCTTAGCCATGGCCCAGCCTTTGCCAGTTCTGAGTTCTGATGCTTCAAGTGAAGGGCTACAACAGGTGCGGCTAAACAGACCTCTGCTTGCAATCCATGGACAAAAGTCTTTGCGTTTATGGCCAAGCATTTCTTCTACAGTACAGTGTACAGGCCTTATCCTCGGCCGTCTCGGTGGCCTTTGTCGAGCCTGCGCCACGGCAGCCCAAGAAAACCAAGTGCATGACTCATTGAGTTGGGTGGTACTGCAGAATAGCGGGTGCCCAAGACAGCAGGCACCTGGTTCTGGATCCCCTCCTTGAGGCTGCTCCTGCAGCGTGGACCGTGAGGTTCAGTGCGTGGCTACGTTGCGAGCGCGTCGGGGTAAGTTCATGGCAACTTCTCCCTGCTGTATGAAAGCCAAAGCCCAAGCCCTATAAAATCCTAATTAGCCGCTAATTAGCCCTCAAAGTCTCAAAACCCTAATTTCTAAGGACCAGAAGAAATACAAACCCCCAAGCCCTCGGTAGCTAGAAGCTCTCTTGTGAAGGTTCTTCAGACCTCCAGTGACAGTGCAGCAGCCAGGCCGAGTGAGCGAAGCCTTTGCGGAGAAGGTTTGTGCGGGGTGCCTCGGGTTCCGAGGACTTCTCGGCCCATAGGCTTGAAGGGATCTGGGCCTTCTCTAGGTCTTGCAGGGACATGGAAACACAAACCTTGTAGGGTCCTGTGGAGGTGTGACAAACCTCCAACTGCAGCCGTGGGACCTCCGCTTCCGCTCCTGCTTCCGATCCTGCTGAGGTATTCGAGATCATTCTTCTTTGGGCTTCAAAGGCCCGAGGCTTCACTTAACGGCGCGTGTGGCGCACCCCAGGGTACGCAATCTCCAGAAACTTCAACACGCTGACAACCGGGCAAAGGATAGTCTCTCTTTCCTGATTTACTTACGTATAATTTGTTCTCTTGTTTTTATTTGTGTCTCCCCTACGGGCGCGCTTGACAGATCCCTCTCTTTCTGTCTTTCTCTCTTTCCCTCTCTGTTGTTTTGCGATTTATCTTTCTCTCTCTCTCTCTGCCATTTTCCTGCAAGATGAAGTTAACCCCTTAAGGAGCTGAACCTTGTGCGCTCTTGTCCGAGGTTAAGTCTGCGCGATGCTTGTCAAGTCGAGTGAGGGGTTGGCGTGGATGCAAGCTATCTCCAGCCAGGTTGTTTCCGCTTGGTTCAGGCTGCACAAGACGACAACAACTAAGAAGTAACTATCGGAAGGCTGCTGGCGCTCTGAAGAGGGCAGCGAAGCTGGAGAGCTGACCACAAGTGTGAATTCGTCATGAGCTTGTGACTTCTGACCCCATGAGCCCTCGTAACATCAAATCGGGTTTGGTGTCCTGAGGGTCGTCTCCGGTGGAACTTGCAGGTTGCTCCTGACTGTCCTGCCAAAGCTAGTCGTTGTAAGGGTAGAAGGATTAATGAATTGCATAGAAATATCTGGCGTCTGAGGATGCTAGAAGCCTGGCCTGCTTCTCTTCGCCATGCTCGTCTTTGCGAAGCTCTTGCTCAGCAGCCTCGCCACATCCCACGTGCCAAGCGTCCCTTCATAGCTAGCAGCAAGGGAATCGCCAAAACAGAATGTCTCCAACCCTTGCCAGTCGCTGACCAGCTACCCCTGCTACCATAGTATAGCAAACGCCAAGATGAGCCACGTCCGCCTCTTTAGTCGCGGTCTCTGACAGTCGGCCTGCCACCCACATTAGTACGATTGATCACGGCTTCTGACTCTCGAGCTTTCGAACTTTGAGGACGCTCACAGGGTAGGCATGAGATTCCAAGGCCTTCTTCGTCAGTAGGCCTTGGCACAGCATGCCCCAAAGCATGTCACTCTTATATCACTCTGATGTCGCAAGTGTCTCTGACAACGGCTTCACGTTGTCGCACGCACCACTCCAAGCTATCTTCGATGTTGGGACTCACTATCCGCCAGCCCATAAAGAAGCAAACTCAAACAACGTAACTATATATACATATATGTACATATGCATGTATATATATATATATGTATATGCGCATATATACATATATCTATATATATATATATATATGTACATATACCTATATGTATTTCCCTATATTCATGTAAGGAAATATTGGGACTTTCAGCTTGCAACGGACAGTTGCCGAGGCTGAGCAGCCTGCTCCACCAGAGCTGCAAGGCCAAGCTTTCCGAGGCGCCCTGCCAAGTTCAAGGTTCAACTTCATGATATCGGGTTTATATAGAAAGACTCCCCTTCGAACCTCAATGAACATAATATCGGGCTTATATACTATACCCTTCTCGGAACCGCAAGGAACGTAACATTTTTGATATTCCCTTGAGTTGTATATGCATAAAAATGGACAAATGCTTAGCGAGCTATTGCGGATTTAGTACAGCGTTACTGGGGTTTACAGGGTTTCAAGCTTTGTGTGTCCTCCGCAAACTACATGTAGCAGACCTGACATCTTCGCTTCATTCCCGGCGGGGGCCTTCATGTGTGCTCAACCAGTTCCACTCATACCTGCAAGATAGCCTGTTTTGAAAAGCAGGCGTGCATCGTTGCGGTCACGTGAGCTCTACCCAAGAACGCATGCCAGTAACTCCAAAACCCGGGGCTCCTAAGTGTGTATGAGCCACAAGCACACTTGTGCCAACGCGCCTGTTGCTCGCTTCCTCTCCTGGCTTCGAACACACAGGACGAGCACCCACAGAATGAATGCCCAACCCTGCAGTATCTCGGATAACTCGCATCCGCATCGAAAGGTGCAATTGCTGAGCGAAGAATCTGGACTCTCCATCCACAGAAGAAGGATGCCCAACCAAGAGCCAACAAGACCCCCCAGCAGAGCCGAACAGGAACCAAAAGCGGCGATTAAATCCACACTCCCCGCCCTTTTGCCTCCCCCTGGTTGGCATCTGCATTGGGCTCCTGGGGAGGAACTTGCACAAACAGATATGTATCAAGGTGCTGCACCCGCCCAGAAAACTAGCTAGTCTAAACCTGTTTGGTCTGTTTCTTACACAAACTCATGCATGCACGTGCTGACGTGACAACGTAGGCCTTGGGAAGCAGAAACTGCAACGATCAATCTATATCAGCTGGACAGCGTCATGCTTACCCTGTCTGCCCCATTCGGCCCCAAACCGCAGCGGACTTTGAAGATGTTGGCCAAACATAAACTGCTTGAGTGGAGAGGGAATTCCTATTCGATGACCAATTTGAACCACTGTGCGCCGTGGGGTCAAGGCTGTTTACTGTCTTATCATTGTTTTCCGGAAAGGATGCTCGGTCAGGTTTGAAGAACTTGCTATTCGGGCGGGGGTGGCTGCAAGGTTGAATTCCCTCTACCAGCAGCTCTCCAGGTTCAGCACGGCGCCCAAGCCCAAAGCGTGCAGCCTCATGCTTCAATCACGTCATCTTCTGCATGAGGCCTTGCATGAGTAGTTAGGACCTCAATGTTGCAATGTTCCTACGAAAGCTCAACGGCTCGTGGTTTTGCTAACCCTGCCAACTGCAAGGGAGTGCTCACAGAGAGATCTAGGCACCGCAACAGTATAGATCTCGGCTTTACATGTCAATGTGAAACCTTGCAGAACATGTGTTTATGATGTTCGCCCCGTTCCTCTCAGAAGTTCTTCTTCTGCACTGAGGCTCTCAGGGTAGTTACAAGAGTCCATTTTGGGGAGCCCTAACATACCGCTGATATACCCAACACAGCCCATGAGCAAGAACTGCTTGTAATATTACCCTGCATTTTCAGGGATCTAGTGGTTAGTGGTTCTAGCCAATTCTACTGGTAGCAACCTAATTCTGAAAAGTCTTTGGAAGTGGGGTTAGATAGTATTCATGGCTATTGTAGTCAGGGAAGGGGCTTCCACAAGCCATCGCAGTCCAAGGTCCGGGCCTGGGCTTGCGCTTTGGACCCTGGGCCCGATCATGTAACGGCGTGCACTCGAGCGCACTGAGTGGGTGAGTGAGTGAGTGAGTGGGGAGGTGGGTTGGTGGGTGGGATGTGGCGGGTGTCTGTGTGTCTGGGGTGACTGCGTGGGTGTGCGAGGGTGCATGTGAGTGAGCGGGTGTCGGTGGGTGGATGTGGGTGGATGTAGGTGGATGTGGGTGGATGTGGGTGGATGTGGGTGGAGGTGGGTGGATGTGGGTGTGGGCCAGGGTGGGGGATGGCGTCTACAGTGTTTCCACCTTGTCTGGAATTAAATCTTCAGGTCTTGTTGCGACGAAAAACAGAGCGCAACACGCGACACAAGTCACATAAACAAAGGCAGAGGCCGAGAGCTCGCATTCTTTCAGGCCGATGAGGGCAGTCCAAGCAGCAAGCAGAGGTTGCGCACGGTAAGTTCTCAAAAAACACTAAAGATTTTACACGACGTCTTAAACTTCTGCGTTGTCTTGAATATATTGTAATATGTATATATATATGTATATACAAATATAATTATGAATACAAATGTAGATCTAAATATAAACAGAAAACATAAATTTAAAAGGTTTTGCCCTGGAGCAGGCCTGCTTGGAAGCATCCTTTGCTGCTGCACTTGCCTGGCGACCGAATAGCGCAAATCCCTCCGAGAGGCGGCCAACCTCCACACCCCGCCTAAACATCTACAAAACCTTCCATCGCGTTTGGAGTACTGTACTAAACACCCATCACCCTTTGAGTAATCGATTAAACCTTCCATCACCCTTTGTGTAGTCTACTAAACCTCCCATGACCCTTTGAGTAAATTGCAAAGGGCACCTGGCTGCCGTCGCCAGAGGCAGGCTTGTCGGTTGGCGCCTGCAATCCGCCGAGTGAGGGTTGGGGAGGCATGCTGGAGGTTGCTGGCACCTGCCTGTGGACCCCGCAGCAAAGTACAGGGCCCGCGTGCCTGTTTGGGAACGTGAGTGGTTCTGGCCTGCAAGAGCAAAGTAAGACAAAATGAGCCCTGCTTCAAAACTTAGTGGTGCAAATGAAGCAGCTTGCCTCTGTGTGTCTGCTTGGCGCAGTCTGCTTTTGCATTTCTTGAGCAGCCCCTGGTGCCTGGCCGTGCTTGCCGTGCTTGCCGTGCATAAACTTGACATGGTGCATGGCTTCTCGCCTTCTTCCCATCAGCAGCATCCTCTGCAACTTTCGATTTCACCTCGGGCGTACATGCCTCTGGCTTTTGGCAACTTAGCATCTCCAAATAGACTGCACATGCGGACAGAACATGGAACGCATCATCTTCGAGACGAATCAACTTCCAAGCATCCGACCTTCTCCTCCGCCTTGGTTGCTTCTGTACCCGTGGCTGATGCAACTGCGTCCTGGCAGACACCAGCTTCGTGGTCTGAAGCGGGCGGGTGGTTGACTTCGCAGAACTGCTGGGACAAGATTCGCTGGATCTACTGGCACATGCGCTCAGTGCTACGAGTATGTGCCATGGCAGCAGGTTTCTTGCCTTGTCCACTCCGGTGGAGGCAACCGCACTAGCAACTGCACCTTTACAAGAGTGTCCTGCCAGTCTGCCAGCACATGAGTTTCCCACGTCGAAGAGCGAAACCCCGTGCATGATACGGGCACAAGATGCCACGAGCTGGGGGCCTTCGATTGGCCTTCGGCCGTCGAGGCGGGTGTTGCTTCAACCTGCATCGTGTGAAGCGCGCATTCAAAGCCTGCCCACGGCCTTGCAAAGAGACTTTGCTTGCGGGCGACTGAGACTGTGTATCTCTCTGCTCACAGCACCGGTCAGACCAAAAACGAACAACGCCCCCCCGACCCCTCCCACCCACTCCATGCAGCCAGTTATCACCGCCACTGGAAATTAGGACTGCCGTTGGACTGCTCACAATTGCACCAGCCTTTGTGCCAGCGCTTTCTGCCACGTTGGGATCTTGGCTTGGCATTTGGACCTTCCAATGCAGCTGCATCAGCAAGTGGCCATCAGCAGATAAATGTCGTAATGTTCCTGGCTTCAATTTTCCATGCTTGCCACATTTCAACCATTTGTGGCCGGATACGGTTATGGAACAACTTGTATCGGGCCTTGCAACTGCCTCCTGGCAGACACCATCTTCGTGGTCTGAAGTTGGTGGGTGGTTGACTTCGCAGAACTGCTGGGACAAGATTCGCTGGATCTACTGGCACATGCGCTCAGTGCTACGTGCCATGGCAGCAGGTTTCTTGCCTTGTCCACTCCGGTGGAGGCAACCGCACCAGCAACTGCACGGTCCACAAGAGTGTCCTGCCAGTCTGCCAGCACATGAGTTTCCCACGTCGAAGAGCGAAACCCCGTGCATGATACAGGCACAAGATGCCACGAGCTGGGGGCCTTCGATTGGCCTTCGGCCGTCGAGGCGGGTGTTGCTTCAACCTGCATCGTGTGAAGCGCGCATTCAAAGCCTGCCCACGGCCTTGCAAAGAGACTTTGCTTGCGGGCGACTGAGACTGTGTATCTCTCTGCTCACAGCACCGGTCAGAGCAAAAACGAACAACTCCCCCCCACAACCCCTCCCACCCACTCCATGCAGCCAGTTATCACCGCCACTGGAAATTAGGACTGCCGTTGAACTGCTCACAGTTGCACCAGCCTGTGCGCCAGCGCTTTCTGCCACGTTGGGATCTTCACTTGGCATTTGGACCTTCCAATGCAGCTGCATCAGCAAGTGGCCATCAGCAGATAAATGTCCTAACGTTCCTGGCTTCAATTTTCCTTGCTTGCCACAATTTCAACCATTTGTGGCCGGATACGGTTTTGGAACAACTTGTATCGGGCCTTCTCCTCCACCTTGGTTGCTTCTGTCCCCGTGGCTGATGCAACTGCCTCCTGGCAGACACCATCTTCGTGGTCTGAAGTTGGTGGGTGGTTGACTTCGCAGAACTGCTGGGACAAGATTCGCTGGATCTACTGGCACATGCGCTCAGTGCTATGTGCCATGGCAGCAGGTTTCTTGCCTTGTCCACTCCGGTGGAGGCAACTGCACCAGCAACTGCACCGTCCACAAGAGTGTCCTGCCAGTCTGCCAGCACATGAGTTTCCCCCGTCGAAGAGCGAAACCCCGTGCATGATACAGGCACAAGATGCCACGAGCTGGGGGCCTTCAATTGGCCTTCGGCCGTCGAGGCGGGTGTTGCTTCAACCTGCATCGTGTGAAGCGCGCATTCAATTCCTGCCAACGGCCTTGCAAAGAGACTTTGCTTGCGGGCGACTGAGACTGTGTATCTCTCTGCTCACAGCAACGGTCAGACCAACAACGAACAACTCCCCCCCGACCCCTCCCACCCACTCCATGCAGCCAGTTATCACCGCCACTGGAAATTAGGACTGCCGTTGGACTGCTCACAGTTGCACCAGCCTTTGTGCCAGCGCTTTCTGCCACGTTGGGATCTTCGCTTGGCATTTGGACCTTCCAATGCAGCTGCATCAGCAAGTGGCCATCAGCAGATAAATGTCCTAACGTTCCTGGCTTCAATTTTCCATGCTTGCCACAATTTCAACCATTTGTGGCCAGATACGGTTTTGGAACAACTTGTGTCGGGCCTTCTCCTCCACCTTGGTTGCTTCTGCACCCGTGGCTGATGCAGCTGCCTCCTGGCAGACACCATCTTCGTGGTCTGAAGTTGGTGGGTGGTTGACTTCGCAGAAATGCTGGGACAAGATTCGCTGGATCTACTGGCACATACGCTCAGTGCTATGTGCCATGGCAGCAGGTTTCTTGCCTTGTCCACTCCGGTGGAGGCAGCTGCCCCAGCAACTGCGCCCTCCACAAGAGTGTCCTGCCAGTCTGCCAGCACATGAGTTTCCCACGTCGAAGAGCGAAACCCCGTGCATGACACAGGCACAAAATGCCACGAGCTGGGGGCCTTCAATTGGCCTTCGGCCGTCGAGGTGGGTGTTGCTTCAACCTGCATCGTGTGAAGCGCGCATTCAAAGCCTGCCCACGGCCTTGCAAAGAGACTTTGCTTGCGGGCGACTGAGACTGTGTATCTCTCTGCTCACAGCATCGGTCAGAGCAAAAACGAACAACTCCCCCCCACAACCCCTCCCACCCACTCCATGCAGCCAGTTATCACCGCCACTGGAAATTAGGACTGCCGTTGAACTGCTCACAGTTGCACCAGCCTGTGCGCCAGCGCTTTCTGCCACGTTGGGATCTTCACTTGGCATTTGGACCTTCCAATGCAGCTGCATCAGCAAGTGGCCATCAGCAGATAAATGTCCTAACGTTCCTGGCTTCAATTTTCCTTGCTTGCCACAATTTCAACCATTTGTGGCCGGATACGGTTTTGGAACAACTCGTATCGGGCCTTCTCCTCCACCTTGGTTGCTTCTGTCCCCGTGGCTGATGCAACTGCCTCCTGGCAGACACCATCTTCGTGGTCTGAAGTTGGTGGGTGGTTGACTTCGCAGAAATGCTGGGACAAGATTCGCTGGATCTACTGGCACATGCGCTCAGTGCTATGTGCCATGGCAGCAGGTTTCTTGCCTCGTCCATTCCGGTGGAGGCAACCGCACCAGCAACTGCACCGTCCACAAGAGTGTCCTGCCAGTCTGCCAGCACATGAGTTTCCCACGTCGAAGAGCGAAACCCCGTGCATGATACAGGCACAAGATGCCACGAGCTGGGGGCCTTCAATTGGCCTTCGGCCGTCGAGGCGGGTGTTGCTTCAACCTGCATCGTGTGAAGCGCGCATTCAAAGCCTGCCCGCGGCCTTGCAAAGAGACTTTGCTTGCGGGCGACTGAGACTGTGTATCTCTCTGCTCACAGCACCGGTCAGACCAAAAACGAACAACTCCCCCCCCGACCCCTCCCACCCACTCCATGCAGCCAGTTATCACCGCCACTGGAAATTAGGACTGCCGTTGGACTGCTCACAGTTGCGCCAGCCTTTGTGCCAGCGCTTTCTGCAACTTTGGGATCTTCGCTTGGCATTTGGACCTTCCAATGCAGCTGCATCAGCAAGTGGCCATCAGCAGATAAATGTCCTAACGTTCCTGGCTTCAATTTTCCATGCTTGCCACAATTTCAACCATTTGTGGCCGGATACGGTTTTGGAACAACTTGTATCGGGCCTTCTCCTCCACCTTGGTTGCTTCTGTCCCCGTGGCTGATGCAACTGCCTCCTGGCAGACACCATCTTCGTGGTCTGAAGTTGGTGGGTGGTTGACTTCGCAGAACTGCTGGGACAAGATTCGCTGGATCTACTGGCACATGCGCTCAGTGCTATGTGCCATGGCAGCAGGTTTCTTGCCTCGTCCATTCCGGTGGAGGCAACCGCACCAGCACCTGCACCGTCCACAAGAGTGTCCTGCCAGTCTGCCAGCACATGAGTTTCCCACGTCGAAGAGCGAAACCCCGTGCATGATACAGGCACAAGATGCCACGAGCTGGGGGCCTTCGATTGGCCTTCGGCCGTCGAGGCGGGTGTTGCTTCAACCTGCATCGTGTGAAGCGCGCATTCAAAGCCTGCCCACGGCCTTGCAAAGAGACTTTGCTTGCGGGCGACTGAGACTGTGTATCTCTCTGCTCACAGCACCGGTCAGACCAAAAACGAACAACGCCCCCCCGACCCCTCCCACCCACTCCATGCAGCCAGTTATCACCGCCACTGGAAATTAGGACTGCCGTTGGACTGCTCACAATTGCACCAGCCTTTGTGCCAGCGCTTTCTGCCACGTTGGGATCTTGGCTTGGCATTTGGACCTTCCAATGCAGCTGCATCAGCAAGTGGCCATCAGCAGATAAATGTCGTAATGTTCCTGGCTTCAATTTTCCATGCTTGCCACATTTCAACCATTTGTGGCCGGATACGGTTATGGAACAACTTGTATCGGGCCTTCTCCTCCACCTTGGTTGCTTCTGTCCCCGTGGCTGATGCAACTGCCTCCTGGCAGACACCATCTTCGTGGTCTGAAGTTGGTGGGTGGTTGACTTCGCAGAACTGCTGGGACAAGATTCGCTGGATCTACTGGCACATGCGCTCAGTGCTATGTGCCATGGCAGCAGGTTTCTTGCCTTGTCCACTCCGGTGGAGGCAACCGCACCAGCAACTGCACGGTCCACAAGAGTGTCCTGCCAGTCTGCCAGCACATGAGTTTCCCACGTCGAAGAGCGAAACCCCGTGCATGATACAGGCACAAGATGCCACGAGCTGGGGGCCTTCGATTGGCCTTCGGCCGTCGAGGCGGGTGTTGCTTCAACCTGCATCGTGTGAAGCGCGCATTCAAAGCCTGCCCGCGGCCTTGCAAAGAGACTTTGCGGGCGACTGAGACTGTGTATCTCTCTGCTCACAGCACCGGTCAGACCAAAAACGAAAAACTATCCCCCCGACCCCTCCCACCCACTCCATGCAACCAGTTATCACCGCCACTGGAAACTAGGACTGCCGTTGGACTGCTCAGAGTTGCACCAGCCTTTGCGCCATCGCTTTCTGCCACGTGGGGATCTTCGCTTGGCATTTGGACCTTCCAATGCAGCTGCATCAGCAAGTGGCCATCAGCAGATAAATGTCCTATCGTTCCTGGCTTCAATTTTATCCATGCTTGCCACAATTTCAACCATTTGTGGCCGGATACGGTTTTGGAACAACTTGTATCGGGGGCCTTCTCCTCCACCTTGGTTGCTTCTGTCCCCGTGGCTGATGCAACTGCCTCCTGGCAGACACCATCTTCGTGGTCTGAAGTTGGTGGGTGGTTGACTTCGCAGAAATGCTGGGACAAGATTCGCTGGATCTACTGGCACATGCGCTCAGTGCTATGTGCCATGGCAGCAGGTTTCTTGCCTTGTCCACTCCGGTGGAGGCAACCGCACCAGCAACTGCACCCTCCACAAGAGTGTCCTGCCAGTCTGCCAGCACATGAGTTTCCCACGTCGAAGAGCGAAACCCCGTGCATGATACAGGCACAAGATGCGACGAGCTGGGGGCCTTCAATTGGCCTTCGGCCGTCGAGGCGGGTGTTGCTTCAACCTGCATCGTGTGAAGCGCGCATTCAAAGCCTGCCCGCGGCCTTGCAAAGAGACTTTGCGGGCGACTGAGACTGTGTATCTCTCTGCTCACAGCACCGGTCAGGCCAAAAACGAACAACTCCCCCCCCCGACCCCTCCCACCCACTCCATGCAGCCAGATCTCACCGCCACTGGAAATTAGGACTGCCGTTGGACTGCTCACAGTTGCACCAGCCTTTGTGCCATCGCTTTCTGCCACGTTGGGATCTTCGCTTGGCATTTGGACCTTCCAATGCAGCTGCATCAGCAAGTGGCAATCAGCAGATAAAGGTCCTAACATTCCTGGCTTCAATTTTATCCATGCTTGCCACAATTTCAACCATTTGTGGCCAGATACGGTTTTGGAACAACTTGTATCGGGCCTTCTCCTCCACCTTGGTTGCTTCTGTCCCCGTGGCTGATGCAACTGCCTCCTGGCAGACACCAGCTTCGTGGTCTGAAGTTAGTGGGTGGTTGACTTCGCAGACATGCTGGGGCAAGATTCGCTGGATCTACGGGCACATGCGCTCAACGCTGGCTCCGCGCAGACTCAGCCAAGCTGCGCCAGTGCTATGTGCTATGGCAGCAGGTTTCTTTGCCTTGTCCACTCCGGTGGAGGCAACCGCACCAGCAACTGCACCGTCCACGAGAGTGTCCTGCCAGTCTGCCAGCACATGAGTTTCCCACGTCGAAGAGCGAAACCCCGTGCATGATACAGGCACAAGATGCGACGAGCTGGGGGCCTTCGATTGGCCTTCGGCCGTCGAGGCGGGTGTTGCTTCAACCTGCATCGTGTGAAGCGCGCATTCAAAGCCTGCCCGCGGCCTTGCAAAGAGACTTTGCTTGCCGGCGACTGAGACTGTGTATCTCTCTGCTCACAGCACCGGTCAGACCAAAAACGAACAACTCCCCCCCCCCCCAACCCCTCCCACCCACTCCATGCAACCAGCTATCACCGCCACTGGAAACTAGGACTGCCGTTGGACTGCTCACAGTTGCACCAGCCTTTGTGCCAGAGCTTTCTGCCGCGTTGGGATCTTCGCTTGGCATTTGGACCTTCCAATGCAGCTGCATCAGCAAGTGGCCATCAGCAGATAGATGTCCTAACATTCCTGGCTTCAATTTTATCCATGCTTGCCACAATTTCAACCATTTGTGGCCAGATACGGTTTTGGAACAACTTGTATCGGGCCTTCTCCTCCACCTTGGTTGCTTCTGTAGCCGTGGCTGATGCAACTGCCTCCTGGCAGACACCAGCTTCGTGGTCTGAAGTTGGTGTGTGGTTGACTTCGCAGACATGCTGGGGCAAGATTCGCTGGATCTATTGGCACATGCGCTCAACGCTGGCTCCGCGCAGAGTTAGCCAAGCTGCGCCAGTGCTATGTGCTATGGCAGCAGGTTTCTTGCCTTGTCCACTCCGGTGGATGCAACCGCACCAGCAACTGCACCGTCCACAAGAGTGTCCTGCCAGTCTGCCAGCACATGAGTTTCCCACGTCGAAGAGCGAAACCCCGTGCATGATACAGGCACAAGATGCCACGAGCTGGGGGCCTTCAATTGGCCTTCGGCCGTCGAGGCGGGTGTTGCTTCAACCTGCATCGTGTGAAGCGCGCATTCAAAGCCTGCCCGCGGCCTTGCAAAGAGACTTTGCTTGCCGGCGACTGAGACTGTGTATCTCTCTGCTCACAGCACCGGTCAGACCAAAAACGAATAACTCCCCCCCTCCCACCCACTCCATGCAGCCAGTTAGCACCGCCACTGGAAATCCGCCGAGGCCTCGGGCCGGAGGTGTATAGGTTGTCAGAACAGGCACCCCCTTCCAAATCCTCCCCCCCTGTTTTTGCCTCAAATGGGTACCCGCACTAGCAAACCGGGGTCCGCAAGCGGACGGTTCGCCAGGACCAGAGGCAGTTGAAGCCCCTCGCAGCAGGCCCCCCCCCACCCACCACTCCCGCCTCCCCCTTCCCCCCTTCCCCCCCCACCCCCCCTACCCCCCCCCCCTACGCTCAATATAAGCCGAACCGTCTCTTGAACCCTAAACCCAAAAAAACCCTAAACCCGAAAGCGTGAACCTTGAGCCCTAAGCCTCAATCCTAAACTAACCCTCAACCCTAAACCCTAAACCCAACCCTTATTGCTGGGGGTCCAGCGACTTGGGCGCTGCGGAATCACCATGCTCACGCGGATGCGCTGGGCCGGGCCGAGGCGGGTCGCGTAGCGTTAAAATTAGGACTGCCGTTGGACTGCTCACAGTTGCGCCAGCCTTTGTGCCAGAGCTTTCTGCCACGTGGGGATCTTCGCTTGGCATTTGGACCTTCCAATGCAGCTGCATCAGCAAGTGGCCGTCAGCAGATAGATGTCCTAACATTCCTGGCTTCAAGTTTCCATGCTTGCCACAATTTCAACCACCGGATACGGTTTTGGAACAACTTGTATCGGGCCTTTTCCTCCACCTTGGTTGCTTCTGTAGCCGTGGCTGATGCAACTGCCTCTTGGCAGACACCAGCTTCGTGGTCTGAAGTTGGTGGGTGGTTGACTTCGCAGACATGCTGGGGCAAGATTCGCTGGATCTACTGGCACATGCGCTCAGTGCTATGTGCCATGGCAGCAGGTTTCTTGCCTTGTCCACTCCGGTGGAGGCAACCGCACCAGCAACTGCACCCTCCACAAGAGTGTCCTGCCAGTCTGCCAGCACATGAGTTTCCCACGTCGAAGAGCGAAACCCCGTGCATGATACAGGCACAAGATGCGACGAGCTGGGGGCCTTCAATTGGCCTTCGGCCGTCGAGGCGGGTGTTGCTTCAACCTGCATCGTGTGAAGCGCGCATTCAAAGCCTGCCCGCGGCCTTGCAAAGAGACTTTGCGGGCGACTGAGACTGTGTATCTCTCTGCTCACAGCACCGGTCAGGCCAAAAACGAACAACTCCCCCCCCCGACCCCTCCCACCCACTCCATGCAGCCAGATCTCACCGCCACTGGAAATTAGGACTGCCGTTGGACTGCTCAGAGTTGCACCAGCCTTTGTGCCATCGCTTTCTGCCACGTTGGGATCTTCGCTTGGCATTTGGACCTTCCAATGCAGCTGCATCAGCAAGTGGCAATCAGCAGATAAATGTCCTAACATTCCTGGCTTCAATTTTATCCATGCTTGCCACAATTTCAACCATTTGTGGCCAGATACGGTTTTGGAACAACTTGTATCGGGCCTTCTCCTTCACCTTGGTTGCTTCTGTAGCCGTGGCTGATGCAACTGCCTCCTGGCAGACACCAGCTTCGTGGTCTGAAGTTGGTGTGTGGTTGACTTCGCAGACATGCTGGGGCAAGATTCGCTGGATCTATTGGCACATGCGCTCAACGCTGGCTCCGCGCAGACTCAGCCAAGCTGCACCAGTGCTATGTGCTATGGCAGCAGGTTTCTTTGCCTTGTCCACTCCGGTGGAGGCAACCGCACCAGCAACTGCACCGTCCACGAGAGTGTCCTGCCAGTCTGCCAGCACATGAGTTTCCCACGTCGAAGAGCGAAACCCCGTGCATGATACAGGCACAAGATGCCACGAGCTGGGGGCCTTCGATCGGCCTTCGGCCGTCGAGGCGGGTGTTGCTTCAACCTGCATCGTGTGAAGCGCGCATTCAAAGCCTGCCCGCGGCCTTGCAAAGAGACTTTGCTTGCCGGCGACTGAGACTGTGTATCTCTCTGCTCACAGCACCGGTCAGACCAAAAACGAATGTGAAATCTTGCCAGGCAATTCAGCGAAAACCTTCAACGCTAAACCCCAACCTATCGCCACCATGAATTCAATACTCACGACAATGGCCCCTGACCTACACACCCTGCCAGCCCGAAACCCTAAACCCTAAATCCTAACAGACTCCAGCAAAGATCGAGGCCGTTTGAGTTCGCAGGAAGAATACAGAAAGCCCAATGTGCAACTAAATTCTCTTTCAGATCTCCAGGCAATGGATCGGCGGTACGGGCAGGGGCAGATTGCCTGCCTTGTCAAAGCCAGTGGCGGGAATTGCGCCGTCGGAATGAGCCTCCTGCTGCAAGCTGCAGAGAGCGTATGTTTTCTCAGAGGAGTGAAACCGGACGATACCACATGGAGATGTTTGGGGCCTTCGATTGGCCTTCGGCGGTCGAGACAGGTGCTGCCTCAACCTGCTCCATGTGACAGGCAGCCATGTGTTGAGCTGCAGCTTCTTGTCAACAATGCTCCAGGAAGCACGCCGAAAAGTCCAATCATTCTTACGTGCTCAGAACAATGACGTGACTTCGCTTGCCAGGTCTGCAGAACCTCTGCCGCCGACTGCATGGCACTGGCAGAAGCCGCGCCGGCAGAGGATCCAGCAGTTTCCTGTCCAGAGCGTCAGCGTCGTCAAGAACGAAACGCCATTTTCAAAACGGTGGACAACCCACACGTCGCCCCCCTTCATGTAGCCAGTACATGGCCAGTTATACGACCGTGTTCAACTTTACGAGATGCTGCGAGCCTGTGTGCCGCTGCCAGCTGCTGAGACGGGATCTGCTTTGCCGGGTGCTTGGACCTCCGATGTAGCTGCGCCAGCCAACGCTGGACTTCAAACACCAGAATGCAAACATTCTACCCATATTCTGCCGCAACCCTCATCGCAATGATCTTGCGCCGGGCCTTCTCCTCCACCTTGCTCGCTTCTGAACGCATGGCTGATGCATCCGCCTCCTAACAGACACTACGAAGCATGCACGGTTGGGTTCGCAGGAAGGATGCAGAAAGCCCAACGGCAACTAAATTCTCTTTCAGATCTCCAGGCTATGCCACTAGTCTCAGCTGACGCACGCTGGCTCCACTACATGCGGGATCGGCGGTAAGAGCAGGGGCAGCTTGCCTGCCTTGTCAAAGCCGGTGGTGGGAATTGCACCGTCGGAATGAGCCTCCTGCTGCAAGCTGCAAAGAGAAACAATTCTCAGAGTAGTGGTAAACGGCGAATGTCGGAGATGCTTGGGGCCTTCGCTTGGCCTTCGGCTGTCGAAACAGGTGCTGCTTCAACCTGCTCCATGTGACAGGCAGCCATGTGTTGAGCTGCAGCTTCTTGTCAACAATGCTCCAGGAAGCACGCCGAAAAGTCCAATCATTCTTACGTGCTCAGAAAAATGACGTGACTTTGCTTGCGAGGTCTGCAGAACCTCTGCCGCCGACTGCATGGCACTGGCAGAAGCCGCGCCGGCAGAGGATCCAGCAGTTTCCTATCCAGAGCGTCGTCAAGAACGAAACGTCATTTTCAAAACGGTGGACAACCCACACGTCGCCCCCCTTCATGTGGCCAGTACATGGCCAGTTATACGACCGTGTTCAATTTTACGAGATGCTGCGAGCCTGTGTGCCGCTGCCAGCTGCTGAGACGGGATCTGCTTTGCCGGGTGCTTGGACCTCCGATGTAGCTGCGCCAGCCAACGCTGGACTTCAAACACCAGAATGCAAACATCCTACCCATATTCTGCCACAACCCTCGCCTTGTCAAAGCCAGTGGCGGGAAGTACGCCGTCGGAATGAGCCTCCTGCTGCAAGCTGCAGAGCGCGCATGGTTTCTCAGAGGCGTAAAGCGCGGCGATACAACGAGCTTGGAGATGTTTGGGCCTTCGATTGGCCTTCGGCTGTCGAGACAGGGGCTGCCTCAGCCTGCTCCATGTGACAGGCAGCGCACATGAAGATCTTGAGTTGCAGCTCACCACATTTCCTGGAAGCATGCCTAACATGCAAGATAAGGCAAGTCTTTATAAGAGCTTGGAGATAGTAGCTCGACTTTGCTTGCCAGCCTCTGCAGCCGACTGCATGGCAGCGGCGGGAGAAGCACTGGCAGTGGTGACAGCGGCTACCTGTCCGCAGCGTCGTCCAGGGTAAAAACAAAGTCGCCTTCAAGCCGCCACCCCCCCACTCCTCATTGAAATGGCCAGCTACGTGATGTTGCGAGCCTGTGCGCCGCCGCTTGCTGCCAAGACTGGAGTGGGTACTTGGACCTCCGATGTGGCTGTGTCAACAAGAAGTTTGTGTCAACCAGAAGTTCAGCACACACCAAAAAACACTAAAGCCTGGATGCTATCATTGTCCAGCGGCATCTACCACTTGCTAGATGCCGCAATTTTTCAGGTCAAGAAGGCATGCAGTCTCGGTTGGAAGGAACCCTCTCATCATGTTTGTGCATCAGGCCTTCTCCACCTCGCTCGCTGCTGATCCCGTGATTGATGCACCCGCCTCCTGATAGACACCAGCTTCGTGGTCTCAAGACGTCGGCTGAGCTCGCATGAGCGATTCGGCAAGCTCTCATCTGTCACTGCGGCCAAGTTGAGAGGTTTCGCTCATGAATTGCACCAGCCTTTGTACCAGCGCTGTCTCCCATGCGCGGATCTGCTTCGCTGGGCGATACCTCCAAATATGCGACAACATCAGCAAGCGGCAAACAGCAGATGCACGTCCCATTTTATGCATTATTCTTCATAGGTTCCAGCATGACCGCAGTCGTGCCATGATGGCCTACTGCTCATGGCGCAGTGGCGCAATTGATGCCGGCATGTGAATGGTTGGAGGATGCTAGAAGGAGCCTTCCTCATCGCCAGCTTTGCATCGGGCCTTCTCCTCCACCTTGGTCGAAGCTGAACCCGCGGCTGATGCTTCCGCCTCTTCAGCAACTTCGTGGTCTGAAGATCATGCAATTCGCGGCTGAGTTTTTCATGATTAACATGGCGAGATCAAGCGGATCAAGTGGCTCCGCAGACTACACACAACGGGCATGGTGCTGTCTGCTGTGGCAGAGCTTTTGCCACCTTGTCTTCGCCAGCGGTGGCAATGGTGGGAACTGCACCGTCTGAAGGAGTCTCCTGCAACCAACTGCAGAAGTTCAAGAGCAAACCCCAGCGAATGTGCCAGGTGCAAGATGCCACGAGGTTGGAGCCTTCGATTGGCCTTCGGCTGTCGAGACAGGGGCTGCCTCAGCCTGCTCCATGTGACAGGCAGCGCGCATGAAGATCTTGAGTTGCAGCTCACAACATTTCCTGGAAGCATGCCTAACATGCAAGATAAGGCAAGTCTTTATAAGAGCTTGGAGATAGTAGCTCGACTTTGCTTGCCAGCCTCTGCAGCCGACTGCATGGCGGCGGCGGGAGAAGCACTGGCAGTGGTGACAGCGGCTACCTGTCCGCAGCATCGTGCAGGGCAAAACAAAGTCGCCTTCAAGTCGCCACCCCCCCCCACTCCTCATTGAAATGGCCAGCTACGTGATGTTGCGAGCCTGTGCGCCGCCGCTTGCTGCTAAGACTGGACTGCCGGGTGCTTGGACCTCCGATGTGGCTGTGTCAACAAGAAGTTTGTGTCAACCAGAAGTTCAGCACACACCAAAAAACACTAAAGCCTGGATGCTATCATTGTCCAGCGGCATCTACCACTTGCTAGATGCCGCAATTTTTCAGGTCAAGAAGGCATGCAGTCGCGGTTGGAAGGAACCCTCTCATCATGTTTGTGCATCAGGCCTTCTCCACCTCGCTCGCTGCTGATCCCGTGATTGATGCACCCGCCTCCTGATAGACACCAGCTTCGTGGTCTGAAGACGTCGGCTGAGCTTGCATGAGCGATTCGGCAAGCTCTCATCTGTCACTGCGGCCAAGTTGAGAGGTTTCGCTCATGAATTGCACCAGCCTTTGTACCAGCACTGTCTCCCCCGCGCGGATCTGCTTCGCTGGGCGATACCTCCAAATATGCGACAACATCAGCAAGCGGCAAACAGCAGATGCACGTCCCATTTTATGCATTATTCGGGTTTCGCTTCATAGGTTCCAGCATGACCGCAGTCGTGTCATGATGGCCTGCTGCTCATGGTGCAGTAGCGCAATTGATGCCGGCATGTGAATGGTTGGAGGATGCTAGAAGGAGCCTTCCTCATCGCCAGCTTTGCATCGGGCCTTCTCCTCCACCTTGGTCGAAGCTGAACCCGCAGCTGATGCTTCCGCCTCTTCAGCAACTTCGTGGTCTGAAGATCATGCAATTTGCGGCTGAGTTTTTCATGATTAACATGGCGAGATCAAGCGGATCAAGTGGCTCCGCAGACTACACACAACGGGCATGGTGCTGTCTGCTGTGGCAGAGCTTTTGCCACCTTGTCTTCGCCAGCGGTGGCAATGGTGGGAACTGCACCGTCTGAAGGAGTCTCCTGCAACCAACTGCAGAAGTTCAAGAGCAAACCCCCGCGAACGTGCCAGGTGCAAGATGCCACGAGGTTGGAGCCTTCGATTGGCCTTCGGCTGTCGAGACAGGGGCTGCCTCAGCCTGCTCCATGTGACAGGCAGCGCGCATGAAGATCTTGAGTTGCAGCTCACAACATTTCCTGGAAGCATGCCTAACATGCAAGATAAGGCAAGTCTTTATAAGAGCTTGGAGATAGTAGCTCGACTTTGCTTGCCAGCCTCTGCAGCCGACTGCATGGCAGCGGCGGGAGAAGCACTGGCAGTGGTGACAGCGGCTACCTGTCCGCAGCGTCGTCCAGGGCAAAAACAAAGTCGCCTTCAAGCCGCCACCCCCCCCCACTCCTCATTGAAATGGCCAGCTACGTGATGTTGCGAGCCTGTGCGCCGCCGCTTGCTGCCAAGACTGGAGTGGGTACTTGGACCTCCGATGTGGCTGTGTCAACAAGAAGTTTGTGTCAACCAGAAGTTCAGCACACACACCAAAAAACACTAAAAGCCTGGATGCTATCATTGTCCAGCGGCATCTACCACTTGCTAGATGCCGCAATTTTTCAGGTCAAGAAGGCATGCAGTCGCGGTTGGAAGGAACCCTCTCATCATGTTTGTGCATCAGGCCTTCTCCACCTCGCTCGCTGCTGATCCCGTGATTGATGCACCCGCCTCCTGATAGACACCAGCTTCGTGGTCTGAAGACGTCGGCTGAGCTTGCATGAGCGATTCGGCAAGCTCTCATCTGTCACTCGGCCAAGTTGAGAGGTTTCGCTCATGAATTGCACCAGCCTTTGTACCAGCGCTGTCTCCCCCGCGCGGATCTGCTTCGCTGGGCGATACCTCCAAATATGCGACAACATCAGCAAGCGGCAAACAGCAGAAGCACGTCCCATTTTATGCATTATTCGGGTTTCGCTTCATAGGTTCCAGCATGACCGCAGTCGTGTCATGATGGCCTGCTGCTCATGGTGCAGTAGCGCAATTGATGCCGGCATGTGAATGGTTGGAGGATGCTAGAAGGAGCCTTCCTCATCGCCAGCTTTGCATCGGGCCTTCTCCTCCACCTTGGTCGAAGCTGAACCCGCAGCTGATGCTTCCGCCTCTTCAGCAACTTCGTGGTCTGAAGATCATGCAATTTGCGGCTGAGTTTTTCATGATTAACATGGCGAGATCAAGCGGATCAAGTGGCTCCGCAGACTACACACAACGGGCATGGTGCTGTCTGCTGTGGCAGAGCTTTTGCCACCTTGTCTTCGCCAGCGGTGGCAATGGTGGGAACTGCACCGTCTGAAGGAGTCTCCTGCAACCAACTGCAGAAGTTCAAGAGCAAACCCCAGCGAATGTGCCAGGTGCAAGATGCCACGAGGTTGGAGCCTTCGATTGGCCTTCGGCTGTCGAGACAGGGGCTGCCTCAGCCTGCTCCATGTGACAGGCAGCGCGCATGAAGATCTTGAGTTGCAGCTCACAACATTTCCTGGAAGCATGCCTAACATGCAAGATAAGGCAAGTCTTTATATGAGCTTGGAGATAGTAGCTCGACTTTGCTTGCCAGCCTCTGCAGCCGACTGCATGGCAGCGGCGGGAGAAGCACTGGCAGTGGTGACAGCGGCTACCTGTCCGCAGCGTCGTCCAGGGTAAAAACAAAGTCGCCTTCAAGCCGCCACCCCCCCACTCCTCATTGAAATGGCCAGCTACGTTTTGCGAGCCTGTGCGCCGCCGCTTGCTGCCAAGACTGGAGTGGGTACTTGGACCTCCGATGTGGCTGTGTCAACAAGAAGTTTGTGTCAACCAGAAGTTCAGCACACACACACACCAAAAAACACTAAAAGCCTGGATGCTATCATTGTCCAGCGGCATCTACCACTTGCTAGATGCCGCAGTTTTTCAGGTCAAGAAGGCATGCAGTCGCGGTTGGAAGGAACCCTCTCATCATGTTTGTGCATCAGGCCTTCTCCACCTCGCTCGCTGCTGATCCCGTGATTGATGCACCCGCCTCCTGATAGACACCAGCTTCGTGGTCTCAAGACGTCGGCTGAGCTCGCATGAGCGATTCGGCAAGCTCTCATCTGTCACTGCGGCCAAGTTGAGTGGTTTCGCTCATGAATTGCACCAGCCTTTGTACCAGCGCTGTCTCCCATGCGCGGATCTGCTTCGCTGGGCGATACCTCCAAATATGCGACAACATCAGCAAGCGGGCAAACAGCAGATGCACGTCCCATTTTATGCATTATTCGGGTTTCGCTTCATAGGTTCCAGCATGACCGCAGTCGTGCCATGATGGCCTACTGCTCATGGTGCAGTGGCGCAATTCTTGCCGGCATGTGAATGGTTGGAGGATGCTCGAAGGAGCCTTCCTCATCGCCAGCTTTGCATCGGGCCTTCTCCTCCACCTTGGTCGAAGCTGAACCCGCGGCTGATGCTTCCGCCTCTTCAGCAACTTCGTGGTCTGAAGATCATGCAATTTGCGGCTGAGTTTTTCATGATTAACATGGCGAGATCAAGCGGATCAAGTGGCTCCGCAGACTACACACAACGGGCATGGTGCTGTCTGCTGTGGCAGAGCTTTTGCCACCTTGTCTTCGCCAGCGGTGGCAATGGTGGGAACTGCACCGTCTGAAGGAGTCTCCTGCAACCAACTGCAGAAGTTCAAGAGCAAACCAAAGCGAATGTGCCAGGTGCAAGATGCCACGAGGTCGGAGCCTTCGATTGGCCTTCGGCTGTCGAGACAGGGGCTGCCTCAGCCTGCTCCATGTGACAGGCAGCGCGCATGAAGATCTTGAGTTGCAGCTCACAACATTTCCTGGAAGCATGCCTAACATGCAGGATAAGGCAAGCCTTTATAAGAGCTTGGAGATAGTAGCTCGACTTTGCTTGCCAGCCTCTGCAGCCGACTGCATGGCAGCGGCGGGAGAAGCACTGGCAGTGGTGACAGCGGCTACCTGTCCGCAGCGTTGTCCAGAGTAAAATGCGGCACGATCTTCTTCAACGCGACCGGCAATGCATCGCCCCTCTCTCAATCTGCCCAGGTACATATAATATTACGAGCCTGCGCACCACCGCTTGCTTCCGAGAAGGGTACTGCCTTGCTGGACCCTTGGACCTGCGATGTGGTCAGCAGCGAACTCCGAACACATCCTAGCTGGGATGCTGCCCATATGCGACAACATCTACTTGCTAATTCAGTAGCAGTTGGAAGCAGTCCTTATCGCCAGGCCTTCTCTTGCACCTTGGTCGCTGTTGAACCCGTGCTTGATGCACCGGGCTCCTGACAGACCCCAGGTTCGTGGTCTGAAGAATGTGCACGGTTGAGCTCGCAGGAAGGTGCAGCGAGTTCAACGTGCAACAGATCCTCTCCTAGATCTCCAGGCTACCCTACTTCTCTGCTCGTGACTGCATGGTCAACCACTAGCAAGCCCAGCAAAACAGTAACCTTGATGTTATCAATGACCAGCGGCATCTGCTTACAATGCATCAATGACAGCATGCAACCCGTGATTGGTGAGGGCATCTTGCTGTTGCGCTGCACTTTCTCCTCCACTGCTGCAGCAGCATCACTCACCTCCTGAAGAACAGCATGGCAGAGAACGATATTTCAAGCTAAGGCATCACACATCAAACAGTTGCATGCCCACAGCTCTCATCTATGTGGCATCTTTTCGTCCTTGTCGTTGTCCCCTCCGACAGCGAGGACTGCACCGTCGGCTGGAGCGTCCTGCTGCCATGCTGGAGAACTAGATTTTACACCGAAGAGCGAAGCCGCATAAATGTCACGTGCACAAGATGCCACAAGCTGAGCTTTTGGAGCCTTCGCTTGGCCCTCGGCTGTCGAGACGGGTGTTGCTTCAACCTGCTCGCGCACAAGTGTGCGCATATCCATTTTTCCACTCTTTGGTGGATATTGCAGGCATGCCGAAGGTCCATACATGTAGAATTATATCGTTTTACTCACATGTGCATGCATATATATATATATATACACACACACCGACATGTATACGAACATTCGCATGCCTTGTCTGCGGTAGCAGACGTAGCACCAGGAGGAAAGCTAGCCTCTCCCTGCCAGCGCTCACGAATCCAGCCAGCTAGTTCCGCCAAAATGCTGCAAGTCAAGGGAGAAACCCCAGCCTTCGCACCGCTGCTGTCTGTCAAGCCCGGATCTGCTTCGCTGGCTGTTTGGGCCTCCGATGAGGCTTCAGCAGCCGACGGCAAAGATCAGGAAACGAACGCACTCCAAAAATATGTTTGTACCAGTGTCCCTCATGCCACTTGCCCACTCTACATATGCCAGCTTGAAGTGGATCGTGCCTTATGCTCCACTGTTGTCACTGCTGAACTGGCGGCTGCCGCTGCTGAACTGGTGGCTGCCGCCGCCCGCTCTTCCTTCCGGTCACCGAAGGTCTGAAGATTGCATGTAGTGTTCCATGCTAGTAGACCAAGTAGGAGGCCTCAACGGTGTACCACGATGCATCGATGCAATCTGAGAGGTTAAACCATTCTGCCTTATGCGGCCTGCTGCTAGGAGCATGTTGGCATTGTAGCCCGATTCCCATGCGGACAGGCCAATATAGGCGAATCGTGGCGCAATGTGTATACAGAATACATAGGGTATACTATATACACACCTTATAGAATTTAATAATGGATCGCAATGACAATACATAATTGCTGCAATGTATAATCTGTTGCATGTATATGCATAGCATATTATAGAAATTATAGAAGGCTGTAAAATATCAGTTATGCGACGTGTGTTAAATAATATAACGTATATATATATATATAACATACATTGTATGCTGATATACATATACACATAGAAACGCATATAGTTTACTTATTTGTTTATTCATATTTCTGGCTATACTATTCTGCCAAGTAATATAATGTGATGTATGGAACATAGGAAAAAGGTATAGAACATTCAGGAAAACATACGTATGTATATAACACTGATAGCTACAGCAATAATGAACAATATGCGTATTGTGCCATAGGAAGAAAACAATGAATGTGAACTGCAACAAAAGCATAACGGCCGGGCACCTTCATCAGACTCTCGACTGCCGAGGAGGGTGATGCATGAACCTGCTCCACGCCACGCAAGAGGCCATGCACTTTGCACGCATTGTTGCGTCTTGCGCTGCTGGCAATTTCCGGATCGCATGTCCAACACTATTGAAGTGCGTCGGTTGCCTGCCTTCTCTGAGGCCACCTGCATGCCGGCACGGGAGCTGGCATCTTCCTGCCACAGCGTTCCGAACAAAACTGGAGCTTCCGAGTTTCTGTCAAGTGTCACGACAAGGGCACATAGTAGTTTCCCCCCATCATCCCTCATGCACCTAACTCCGCGAAAGAGTTACGCGAGCCTTTGCGCCAGCGCTTTGACCCGAACCAGCAGGATCTGCTTGACTGGGCGATTGGACCTCCGACGTAGCTGCGTCGAGGGAAACAGCCCTGAGTTACAAGCCCTTCCAGCTTGAAATCGCCGTGTTTCGTGCCGGGCCCTCCACCTTTGTGGCCTGGCCCGCTTGAGTTTAAGGTCTCAACATCATGTCAGGGGATGTCAGGGGCTGAGCTCGCATGAGCCATAGTAGGGCCCCAGCTTTTCAATTTTCAAGGACAAAAAACTCTTCAAATATGCCTATGCACAGTTTGCAGCAGTATGTACAGAATAGTGTCGTTGCCGTTTTTTGCGTCCCTTTTTAGGCCTTGTCGCTTCCAGTTGGTGGCAACTCCACCCAATCTCACGACCACAAGATGCTGCAAGCGTGGTGCCTCCATCACTCCTTCCCCTGCCGGAGCAGCTGCCGCAACCTCTTGACAGGTCAGCCAGTATGTGGCCTATGCGGCCGACTGTATGGAAGGAGAGAGTGAGGCAACGGCAAACAGCCAGCATCTCCCTACCCAATCTTCCAGACTTTCACATGTCACTGGCACATCCTCGAGCCTTTGCATCAGCATTCCCTGCCAAGTCCGGATCTGCTTTTCGGAGCGGCTGGACCTCCGATGTGGCTGAAGCCCTTCAGCCGTCAGCAAGCAGCACAAACAGTCCTGTTGGGTTTCCTCGCGTAATCTCTGTGTGTGTGTGTGTGCCTTTAGTGGGGCATGAAGCAGTCCTAAGCTGGATTCCCTGTGGGCATGCTACTTGCGACCTGCTACCACCTGGCTCAGTTGAACGTGTCGTCGCCCAGTGGCCTCCGTCGCTGCTGAAGTGGCAGCTGCTGCAGCCTGGCAAACGAGGCACCCTGCTGCCAAGCACAAGGAAATACTGGAATCACTCGAGTCCCTCCAGTGATCTCCGGCGCATCCTTTCAGGCCACATAACAAGATGCCCGAAGCGCGTCGCATGTCTTGCATGGCTCTACTGCGAGAGGAGGGATATCTTATTGCCCGCCTTCTCTGCAGCCGAGTGGGTGCCTGCAGCGATCGCCGCGCCAGCAGAGGAGCCAGCACCGTCCTGCCCATGTGATCATCTCTCCCTCATCCCACCAACTCAGCCGCTTGACAGCTTGGAGCAACTTGAAGCTTGCCCAACTTGCCCCTCTCCCAAGTTTCGTTTCTGCATCAC